GGCATGTCACCCGCCACGCCCCGCCGGCGGCGCCGACGTCATCCGCACGCGACCGCCGCGCCGCAGCCGTTGGCGGGGCCGCACGGAGCGCCGCGCCTGCGCACTGCGGGCTACGCGCGTTAACGGCCGTGCCGCCATCGGCCTGGTGGGGCCGCGGGAGTAGACCCAGTTGCCCTGTTAGAATCGGGGACCGCAGCGTTGACTCAAAAAGCGAGTCAGGCTGGGAGAAAACTCTGTAATTGCAGAGAAAACTCTGTAAATGCAATGCCAAAACAATACTTTGTGTATCTCATTAACTGAAATGCCATTTTTACTTAATTTAGATCTCTACAAGCAAACTCCCAGTCATCAGTTTTCCTCGTGATAATCAAATTAATGCTAAACCAGTACAGTTAGTTCCGCAGGCTGGTGAAGTGTTTCCCTTTGGGAGGGCCTGGGCATTGCAAAGCACGCACCCCAGGCTTAGAAAATAGGATTTATACTTTCAAATCCTACTCTAAACTCCTACGTAAATGCAGATACAGCAAAGTGTGTGTTGGGATTAGAGCCCGTATTCCAAAGGGAACACGGTGTGAGAGGAGGCCAGCAAGGACCTGCAGGAAGAGATGTGTGTAGCAGGATGAAAGGGGAAGACGACACCAGAGAGAGGGTGCAAAGCCAGGAGGAGAGAGCAAGCTGTGCTCAAGGGGACCAGCAAAGTGCAGTTATTACCTTTGCTTGGTAATCATAAGCGATGGCGATCTATACTGATTCTTTTTCTGCTTAATCAAAAGATGTTAAATTTCATACTATACAAAGCCATTTTGTTTTTTCCCCCCATTTACTTTTATTCTCATTTGAAATCTTGAATTTCTATTAAGAAGACCTGTTAGACCAAGACTAGGAGCGCTGCAATGTTGCATTAGTTATTTGACAAGAACACCCAACGCTGAAGAGGAAAAGCTGATATATCATAGAGTTTTCATCTCTTAACTATTTTGTCTTTTTCTTAAAATTTATCTCTGGGAATTCCATAGCTGTGGCATACCACATCTGGTTTTTATTTATATAAAAACATAGTCACAGTAAGAGACTTGAAAACATGGCCTAAGCATACAATAATACCAAAAAGGACATGCTGTATTTAACCTAATACTGACATTATTTCGTATAGGCAAAAACCCTTTCTTTTCTCTTAGAACACCAGTGGCAAGGAAGCTGGTCCACCCCCTCTATCCACCTCAGGGCAGCACAATATGCATATGTGAGAGGACCCACGTTGCCTTCTCAGACTGCAGTTAACCGAAGGAACCATATTTCTCCCCTTTCGTTTTTCCAGCCATCTCTGKGAAAGCAAGGAAGGGGCAGATTTTTTTCACAAACTGCCTTTTCCCCTCGTCTCCGAGAGCCCACGCGCCCTGAGGGGATGAGAGGCAAAATGGCCGCCCCTCAGCAACGAGCGCCGCTTGTCCCCCGCCCTGCCGCGCCTCAGGCCCCGCCTCCAAGCAGCTCTCAGCGATTGGCCCCGACGCGGCGTCGGCTCCGCCTCCCCATGACGTCACGCGGCAGCAAGGTATTATAAGGCGCGCGCGCCACGGCTGTAGGGCTAGAAGGTTCTGGGAGCCGGAGMGTTCTGTGTGAGGAGCCGCGGCCCGGCCAGGCGCAGTGTCTCGCCATGACCCGTGAGTGCCCGGCCGCCGGTGGGCCCCCATTCGCCTCGCCGCCGGTGCCCGGAGCGATGGGGCTGCACGGGGGCCTGCGGTGCGGGTGGGGGAGCGTCTCGGCCGCTCCGTTATAATGGCGCCGGGCGGCTGAGGCCGATGGGGAGGCGCAGCCTGGGAGCGGCGCTGGGGCTCCCGAGATCTTGCCGCCGTTTTAGGATTAAAGATGTGTCCTCAGTGGCCCCTGGCGTAGCTGTTCGGGTGGAGGGAGAAGATGGTAGTCGGCTAGAAAAGTGTTAGCGCTCTGTTCCGACGCTGACCGCAAATAAAGCGTGTTTAAAGGGTTGTGGCGTATTTAATAGCTTCTTGCCTCATTTATGATTCTCGAGGATGTCACTCAAAGCGAAAGAGGACGTGCAGCTCATCCSCTCAGTTAGAATTGGTGCTAGTGGATGCGTTCCAAGATGGCGGCGGGCTCAGGGCCGGGCTGGGCGCCGCGGGCTCGCCGAGCGCAGCGGCGCCGCTTCGCCGCCCTCCGCCCGTGTCTGCCCGTGTAGAAGCTGCTGCTGTTTGAGGAAGGGCCTCCGTACCAGCGCTAGCTATAAAAACGGACCTTCAAATCCGTCGTACGGTGAAAGTGCAGAAGAATTAGAGGTGCGAAAGAATTAATTGTGCACTAATTTGAGCTCAGAGAGACTGTAGATTTATGGAAGAAGTCATAGGCTTATGGCTTTTAAAATACTCCTGTTTTCCATGATAAAATCCCTGTAATTTAAGATTACAAGGAGGTACATTGTTCCATATCACGTTACAGCAGGACAATCCTGTACTTGATCTTTTGACAGCCTAGTTCAATATGGTATCAGAAATACTGTGGGTGGAGAAAGCTGTGTGYGACCTAGCGTGTGGCCTTATCTTTAGGGTATGTGTCCAGAGCTCARAGCTTTGGTATCAATACAGCTGAACTAGATCATGTATTTTCAMATAAATGGTGGCAAGTTGTTATTTTTTTATTCCATTGTTAACTTATGGCATGTGATGAAGTTCCTTTGCTAGTTGGAAAGTACCTTAGGGATTCTGATCTTAGATATTCAACCCAGTTAAGCATTCTTTTAATCTCTTTCCAATAAAGAGATTAAAGATGGTAGCTGTTTGGTCCAGTTTCTGTGCTGTTTGGAGATCTTTAGTGTATCTTAAGAACTGCTGMCTGATCTTGGAGCCTGAAGAGCAGGGACAGGTAGAACAGAAGCTGTGCAGAGTCCTACGGAGTCTGGCAAGGTAGGGCCATCTAGAGCATAGTTATAAGCAGCCAGATGATATGGGCCTATATATGACTCTCATTCTGGAGCTTCACACTAGGGAAAGCTGAATAGAGTCCGGACTGGACTGTGTTTCRTGGAAGACTTAGGCTGATGTTGCAGACTTTTTTTTTTTTTTTTTAAATTCAGAAAAATGAAATCATCTCAGGTAAAGTACTGGGGCCAAATAATCTGTGGCAACATTTGTTTGGAAGTTTAAGCTTCCTTTCMGTGAGGAATTTTGCGCTCTGATGTTAGGCTGGTGCTCTTCTACGTACTTTTGCTGCATGGAAGTGTCACCCAAGATCAGCAACCAAGGCCATTCAACCTTCAGCTTATCTCTTTTACAGAACACTCCTGCAGACATTGTGCATGTCACTGCCTGGGAGAAGTGAAGACCTTAGGGTGAGGGTGCAGGATAGCTGCTGGATGAACTTGGACTAAAACAGTGTTTTGAATTTGCCATTCTTTATGGACAAGGAAATAAGGTCTTCAAGCACCACAGGAGACCTCTTTGGTTGCTGCTGACCTGTGTGTGCAACATTTGTGCACACACAGAGCACTATAGAACTCTGGAACCATTTATAGCCTGGAATGTATCATCTGCCCATGAGTCATCAAGTCCCAGCCAAGCTGCAATATTGCTGGAAAGCTGTTTCACTTCAGTTTCTAAACAAATAGTGTCCATTCCCTATACTGCAGGAGTCTGGGGAAGAGATCCCCTGTGATGCTAGTGAGGAGGATGACTGGGTGTTCTCTCAGCCGGCATAGTGTCCTGCCAATGCCTGCGAGGCTCTGTAAGCCTTCAGGAAGCAGCACTCAAGATATCCACCACCCTTAAAGCAGTGGTGTTCAGAACATGCAATACCCCAGCCTCCATAGGATGCCTCTTGTCTGCTTCTTAACATGGCAGGTCCACTTAAACACAATGAGTAGAAAGCCGTAGATTATGCCAGAAGTTAGTGTTCAAAATTTTCCTCTGGACCTGTTCGTAAACTGCTTCTCCAACACCCAAAATGAAAGGCACCTGAAGATTATCTCTCAGGAGATGAAAAGAGTGTAGGTAATCTTAAAACTGGAGAGAGATTAAAATGAGCATAACAAATTACAGGGCCATTGAGCATGGAAAAATAACTTGCGGTTGTGTATGCTGAAGACTACAAGCGACTACAGCAAGAATAGGCTGGAATACTCTGAGCCCTAAAGAAGCAGGGCAAGAAGAAATACTAAGCAAAGAACCCCCTGGCAGATGAGCAGCAGAGCAGGCTTGAACTGTTCTAGGAAAGCAGATACAATTAAAAGGTTGTCAGCAGTGCAGAAGAGTCCTGTAACTGAGGTGGCTGTGGCTGCTGCCAGGAGGACTGAGTATTTGGGAAGTTGCATCTGCTCTGGGCCATGGTTGTGTGTTGTTTTTGGTATTATGTCTTCAGGAATGCTGTCTGATCAAAAACAAAGCCTGAAGCGTTAACAGTTTGGGGGCTGATTACTCCTGGGGAAGACTTGCCTGTCCCCTGAAGAGTTGTCTTCTGTACCACAAGCAGTGGGGTGTATATACTCTGTACTTCAGGTTTTGTTAAATCACACTTAGGTGCTGGCTAAGGCCACACCTAAGTGCTGCGTTAACCTTTTGTTGGTATTGAGTAGTTATGTCTGTGAACCAAGTGGCTCTTGCAGTAGCCATGTGAAACTTGGAGACAACCTCAGTGGACAGGTCCAGCATTGCAAACCGTGGCATGGCGCTCCGTAGACCTTTCTATAAAAGGAATAGGAAAACGTGTGACTATCAGGTCTTGCATAAAGCTGTAACATATCTTGTAGGTGGAAATCAGCGTGAACTTGCCCGCCAAAAGAACCTGAAGAAGACCCAGGAGATCCACAAAGGGAAAAGGAAAGAGGATAGCTTGTCTGCCTCTCAGAGGAAACAGAGGTAAGATGTAGTATTGTAGGAAGGAGCTCGTTTTCTTCAAGAGAAGCTCTGCTGCCAAAATAGTCATACCAGAGGGAGTGGTCAGCCTGAGAGAGTGAGAGGTCCTTAGAGCCTCTGAGTTCTGGGGCAAAGGAGGCATGACCTAATCTGGCRCCTGACCATGCTACTTGCCCAGAATTCTTGTGTATTTTGTGAGTTGCTTTCCGGAATGAATACAAGAAGTAACTTGAGACTAATTGGCACCCATAARATGTGAGCAGATTGCAACTGTGGGCAAATGAGAAAGTAGCAGGTTTCCATCAGCTGGCAATTTGCTACTATTTCAGCTATAGCATCCAAGAGTTTGAATCTAAATCAGACTGGTAAAGGCTTACTCGGTAGCTGGTCAAATTGGCTAAAGTACTTAAAATAAGGTAAATGGCAAGAAAAATGGTTCATAGAAATCTATTCTCTATCAAAATGGAATTTAAATATTCTCTTTTGGCTCATGGTCCATTAATGTGCTCGAGTATAAATACCGTATGCAGGCTTGCCTCTGATACAAAGCAGCTTCATTTTTTGCAAGCCCTGAGGTGTGTGGGGGGAATTTAAGAAGTTTTTTGCCTAATATTAAAGCAGATTTTCAATACTTGGAAGCTCTTCCATTTGTTTTATCCTGTATTTTTGAGTTTAAACATATATCAATTAATGAAACAATTTACCTACAGTGCAAGCTTAATTAACAACAAACTTTGTTTTATGCTAGTACCTATCCACTAATCTCGTTTCTTGAAACTGTCATCACGTGCGCTGTTGGAAAGCAAGCCAAGAGATGGTCAGTGAGAGAAATRGTGAGCCAATATCTGAAGTCTAACTCTGCTTCTTTACAGAGACTCCGAAATCATGCAGCAGAAACAAAAAGCAGCTAATGAAAGGAAGTCTCTGCAGGCAGGAGCAAAATGAACTGTCCCTCTGGAGGAGACCTAAGGAGAGYGTGTCAATGAAGCTGAAGGGCCGAGGAGATCAGACGTTTATAAAAATGGCCAGCCATTAAATGGTTAAATGTTTCTCTCATACTTGCAGACTTGTTCATTTTGCATTTCTTTAGAGTATTTTCAGGTTAGTGTAGGCTTAGTTATCTGAAGTGTTATTTCAGAACTGACTGTACTCTTCTGCATGCATATAAGTAATGGTACCAGGCAATAGCTTAACTCCAGCTTTTTGTTGCAATTGTTGGTTTCATTTAATGGTCCCAGTAATAATGGATTTCTGAAACTGCAGTTAGACCAGATTTTTTTTTGATTTCTTAAAGAAGAAATTAATTCAGAATGGAACATACTTGTAAAATGTGGTTAAATTGAAAAGGTCTGAACTGTAATTTTCATCTTAAATTATTTTTACAATAAAATGTTGCATGAAATATTGTTTAATTGAAATGGTTATGGTTGATACATTATTTCTTTAAGAAGTGAGAACAGTGAATTATGGAGAAATACAACCTGGCAGTATGAAGTCTGTGCTGTAGAAGATGCTTAATGTAGTTACAGTATTCATTGGTGTACTTCAGCAGACCATGAAGCTATTACTTTACTAAGAGAAGCTACAGGTTTTGAAGTTAATAAACTGAAGATGTTAACCGATTGCAAACCTGCTGTCGCTACAATGGTTGAAACTGCTGCTTTCTCAAACTGGTCTCAAGAATAAAGCTTAGTGCAAGTGAAAATGCAGTGCTTGTTCTTGGACAGGTTGATGGGGAGCACGCTGTTAGTTTGGGATACAAGGAACCGCAGCATTCCAGCTGCGGAAGCGCTCTTGGAGCTGGTTGCTTAGGGGCTGAGAACCAGCGTGGGGTTCTTGGARGGAGCCCTTTCCATAGGGTTGGGATCTTGAGCCTTGGATGGGGCGGATGGGGGCGCGCGCGGCGCCGAGCTCCGCTGGGGGGGGGCGAGGGCTTAGTGCAAGTGAAAATGCAGTGCTTGTTCTTGGACAGGTTGATGGGGAGCACGCTGTTAGTTTGGGATACAAGGAACCGCAGCATTCCAGCTGCGGAAGCGCTCTTGGAGCTGGTTGCTTAGGGGCTGAGAACCAGCGTGGGGTTCTTGGAGGGAGCCCTTTCCATAGGGTTGGGATCTTGAGCCTTGGATGGGGCGGATGGGGGCGCGCGCGGCGCCGGGCAGGTGGGGACGGGCCGGGAACGGGCCGGGGATCGGGAATGGGCGGCGGTAAGCGGTAACGGGTGTGTGGCCTCCTCCGCAGAGCGACGACTCGGACATCTGGGACGACACGGCCCTCATCAAGGCGTACGACAAGGCGGTGGCCTCCTTCAAGGTAAGGGGGGGGGGGCATTAGAAACGCACGTGTAAATAGATCAGTAAACATAAATATACRTTATAAATAAATAAATAAATAAACGTTACATAGATACCAACATACATCTTACGCTGCCCTGGCTTTTCTGCCCTGCAGAACGCCCTGAAGAACGGAGAGTGCCCGGAGCCCCCGGAGAAGCCGGAGCAGTCGGGGACCAAGAGGAAGAACAACAAGAAGAACCGGAGCAGAAAGAAGAGCAACTCCGCGCCGTCCAAACAGGTCGCCCCGGCTGGGGAATCGACTGTTGTGTGGCTGTAGAAYCACGCGCAGTGTGGGTTTGTGCCTGCCTGTGCTAAAGGGCAGCCTCTTCATCTTAAAAATGGGGRTGTGATGATGCTGGAGCTTTATCTTGCTCGTAGGAACCTCATTTCTAGAGCCCTGCTTGTAGGAAACTTAGCTTGAGCGCTTCAGTTAAATGCAAAGGAAAAGTCTGTCGGGGTGAGAGACGCGTTCCTCAAGATGGGGGGAAAGCTCTGCTTGCAAAATGGCTTCTTCTTCGGCAGCCATGGATACAGGCTCTTACCTGCCCCCCTGCTTCTGTTCCAGTGGAAAGTTGGTGACAGCTGCAACGCGGTTTGGTCTGAGGATGGCAACGTCTACCTGGCCACTATCGCCTCCATTAACCACAAGAGGGGCACGTGCGTTGTTATTTACACTGGATATGGCAATAAGGAAGAGCAGAACCTGTCTGACCTCCTTCCTCCRGCCATCGATGAAGCAGTAAATGAGATGGGGAATTCGGGGGAGGTGAGAGGGCAACTTTTTTGTTCCGCTGAAAAGGAAAGAAAGAGCAGGAGAGTCAACTTCTCAGTGTGTCRGCTACCCTGCCGTGGTGAGACGGGGGATCAGAATATATTTCTGCTGTGAAGGGGCACAAACCAAAAAGGGGATGSAAGTGGAAAGCGTCCCTGAACTTAGCATGGATGAAAAGGAGGGGGCAGGGGTAAAGCCTATGAGTAAAAGATAAAATGGCTCAAATGATRAGCAGGGGACACGCAAAAATTGTCAGGTTATTCCTGAATGGCCTAGAGAACTGACAGGAGAGCTGGGAGGCGAGAGAGAAGGAAGGAAGGATGTGGACAGYGCTTTCCAAGTGCAGTTTTACACTGCAAGTATTTACTTGAGATTGCTGTTTAATGCATGTTATAAAAATATGTCTTGCTTTTCTAGAATGAAAATGAGACTCAGTATTCGACAGATGAAAGTGAAAAATCTTCCCAGTCACCTCGAAACAAAAACTGCACAAAAGCCAGATTCTCTCCTCGCAATTTACGTTTTCCCATGCCCCATGCAACGCCAGCTCCAGGAAAGGTAAGCTCAGCCTTCCTTCTTGCCTGTAAAATGTAACTTCAGGGAGGGGCTTTGTCCCCTGGGCACTGTTGGTGCTGTTAGTGACACACTCCTGGTGCTTTAAAACTGTGCGTTTACAAGCCGGTTCACAGGCTRCTTCCGTACTGCACGTGACAGTGTTGGCACACACGGATGGGAGTATATCCACTGCCAGTGGTGAATATAAGTTTCTTGACATGATAGGGCAAGCACAGACTTCTCTCTAGAAAACAAAAATGTTTAGATTAAGTAGTATGGTTTCAACTCCTCGACTGACATCCAATGACATAAGTAGTGGGAATTGTAGTTCTCGGGAACAAAGAGCTGCTTTGTGTTTTTGCTGCCATTAAATTGTTGTGATGATGTGTTGCCTTTAGTTAGGGTTTGTGACTTGCTTGAAATAATTCTCTTAAATAAATCCTTAATGCCTTAAATTTCGTTTTAACTTGAACTATTTGATCATTTCATTTCAGGCTGGATCGAAATTCAACCCACCTCTGCCGTTTTTATCCTGCTGGCCCCCACCCTTCCCAACAGGACCCCCGGTAAGTGACAGTACAGTGAGGAGAAAACAGCAGGTGAGTAGTTGAGATCTCCAGGTTTCTAAGGGAATGTCTCAGTCCACTCTGGTTTTGGAACATGTTCATAGGAGGGTATTTTCTAGGTATTGTTCATGCACTTAGCAGCTATCACAAGAACTGCATGTCTAAGGCATAGTGTGTACACCTTTTTTTTGTGACAACAAAGCGCTTAGTGGGAATATCAAGAAAAAAATCTTAAGAAGAGAAATAAATTCTCAACAGGGTAGTGTGCCTTTCACGTGATTAACAKCATTTCACTGATATGGGCAAGTCTTTTTTCTAAATAAAACTTCATCTAAATCCTCAAGCCAGAGGAACCCTATTTCTTTCAAACTCTGGTAATGAAATCTTTCCAACTCTTACCTGACTGCCCTTTCTAATAATGCTTTGCGGATACGTTCTTGTTCTTCAGTAATATGTGTCGATCGTTTAGAACTGTCCGAAACACGGGCAACTCTCACTTTCTTCTATAATTTTGCAGCTGATTCCTCCTCCACCTCCTATGGGGCCAGATTGTCCTGAGGATGACGAAGCGTTGGGGAGCATGCTGATAGCCTGGTACATGAGCGGTTATCACACCGGGTATTACCTGGTACGTGCTACTTCTCTTTAGCAAGGTCTGTTTAAGCTTGCTCGGGTCTTGCTGCTACTGTTCTCAGCAAAAGGTTGACTGGGAATGTTGCTTTTTGGCCCTCTTATTCTAATATGATAGCTAGACATGTGAGTGTGAGATATAAGATAGACAGAAGGGTGTTTCATGCTGTGCAGGTTTTCTCATCTTWAAGTAGAAAATACTTGTCCACTGAAACTGCACATTTACACAATATTTCAGTCTTTGTTCCCCTAAAGGTGTCTTGCTAGGCTCCGTTAGTAAAATAAGTAGTTCTGGTTTTGTGGACAGGTGCTGTAAATCTCAATAAGATTATTATCCGATAGGTTTCTATGGATTTTCTTTTGAGCATTGATACTCATAATGCTTAGACTCAGATTTGACAATATTGAAAAGACTTCATTCTTCAGTAAAAAGACTTCATTCTTCAGTAATTGTTCAGGTGATTGCAAAGGGCTGTTATGAGCTGTCAGTGTTAAAGTCTATGACAGAGGGTTGATTTCTTGTGTCTTTGTATACCAAGGAAGAAAATTACAGAAGGAATTCAAGTCTTTACAGTGGGGTGGTTGGAAATAGGAGAGTAGCTTAAAAGTGATCTGAAATTCTTGTGTGGAGACACTGGTTATGATGCAGATATGTAGTTTACAGTTTGGTATCTGGCCTTTCTAATTCTCCAGTTCATTTARCCCTAAAGAAATAAAAGCTACTCTTGATTTATAAAGGACTGGAAAGAAAAGTCCTAAAATGTTTTTTATTTTGTGGCTTAAGCTTTTATTTTCGTGTTAGTAAAAGCAGGATTTTATTAAATTGTGTCCTGTAGGGCTTAAAGCAGAGTCGAATGGAAGCTGCCCTAGAGAGAGAATCCCATCCTAAATAACTGAATATCCATCACTGTCTTGCAGGACTGTAAGTACTGTAATTTTATCCTAAACAGAGATGCACTGTCAGCTGAGAAACGTGTTTGCAGTGGGTGAGGGCTTCTCGGCGGGCTGGCCCTCCCTGCAAACGCTTGGCCCTCCAAGAATTCCCCYGGCTCTCGCTCTCAGTTTCTGCCAGTACTGATCCTTTCTTGCTTAGCAGCAATGGAGTAGTCTTTTCATGGCCAAAGAGAAAGAAAATATCTTTATATTCTCTTGAATTATTTCCTGCTCCTTATTTTGTGGCTGTGCTTTTATCTAAACACTTCACGACAGTGTTCAATTCCTTACGTAGAATTCCGTATCACAAAACTCTTCTGATTCTGACAAGCATCTCAGTGCTGCACAGATGAGTTATTGGTATTAAGAAAATCCACATCTACTGCCTTAAATTTTGTTTCTTTTTTTAAAGCCAGGTACAAGTCTCTCCCACGGAGAGGGATATATCACTTGTGAAGCGGTTGATGGTGAAGATCAGAATTTTATCAAGACAACCTCAACGTTCTGTTAATAGTGATATAATTAGTAGATAAATTACTGGAGACTAGAAATTCTATGTGCTTTGAAACAGGTTATTTCTTAGYAACATCCAGTCAACCATATATTTAGTAAGCATTGCAGCAATGGAAAAAAAAAAATCAGTAAAATGCTCTTTATTTCCTCAAAACAATATTAAGCCTAATGTGAATTAAAAAAAAAGTGATAAGATTTCTTTCAGTGTGTGGTTTAACACCTCTTGTAACTATTTTATCTTGTATTCCTTAGAGTTTTGATTTATTTTTTTTTCCTCCTCTTGTGTTACAAGCCCAGTGCTTTTCGCTGGAGCCAGCGCGGTATTTCCTGCCAAGCCGTGGTTATGGCAGCAGTGTCCATTGCTGAGCTGCTGCTGGCACTGACCTAGAAAACAGTGCGCTGCCAGAGTGAGCGAGAGGCCTATTTTTATAATTAGCTGAACTTTGAAAGGTTGGTTTGTTTGTTTGTTTGTTTCACATGCCTGTGAATAAAGGTTCCTTTCAAACTTTGAATTTAGGGGTCATTTTGTTTGGTTTTTAGTTTCCATAAAAGCCTCTCTTCTATCTGAGTKGTGGAAATATGCTGGTAAGTTTTTGCTCTGTGGCCGCCTTGACTACTCCTGTGGTACCATACTAAAACCAACATGAAAAGCCAGGCTAGGGAAGGGTAAGAGAAGCCTCACCTCCCAGCTTCTTCAGTCTTAGCTCTTGTAGAAGGAAGGCTGCAGCTACAAGACTGGATCATGATGGAGGTAGCAGCAGCACTTTGCATTTCAGGAAAACCAGTCAAATACGGGCCTGAATTCTGCTGTAGTCAGTTCCTTTCCCTGGGCTGGTAAATCTCAGAAGAATAGAATTTCCCACCACTAAAAAAAAAAAAAAAAAAAAAAAAAAAAAAAAAAGAGAACCTGAAGCCTTAACTGCCCAAACACTGCCCTGCTGGAAGCGATGCAGAGCTGCTTGCTCAGTGGTTCACCAACTGCTCCCTAGCAGTTCTAGCAATTGCTAAAGCATAAATTGCTACATCCCTCTGAACTAGGGATGTGCCAGTACCTGGCATTAAGTCACACTCTTCAGTTTTTGGAGCTACTGAAATGGTGTCCAACATTATTTTTAATGCTATTGTGATTGTAAACTGTTTAGGACTTTTATTTCATGGTAATGAATCATGTAATGGACTTCGTGGCAATCAAAACATTAGAATAGAAATTAATATTATTTTACATGGGTGTTAAGTGAAATTGTACAGGTTAAGAAAGCTTCATTTTCCATAGAAGACATGACTTAGATGTGTAAATAAAATCCATAAAACAAGCTTTACAGCATTAATCCTGTCTTCTATTCTGTGATCCTTTTACATTGCCTTAACGTTGCTGTAGAAGAGACGCATGGTTCAGCCTGTTTAAAATCCTATAGTACCTGGTTAGTGGCAATATATGTAACTCCTAACAAAAGTAGAGAAAACTATGCTCTCAAACTTTTCTAGCCTTGAATATGTGATGAAAAGGRCAAGAGCCATTGCCAGGATAATCTTCAGCTCCTGGGCTGGGGATGCTGCTCTGCTTTCATGATATCAAACATATGAAGTCCCTCTGCATCAAGCCACCACCTCWGCATATTTATTGTAACTGGAGGAATAGGAACATGAGGTTGTTTAAGCGATGGAAAGAGGTGCTATAACATCTTCCACGTAAGGCACCTCCCACAGCCTCACTRCATGATTCTTCCTCTCAGCCCAGCATCCTGGGTACACATGGGGTTAGCTTGTATATAGCAAATAACAACTTCTATTATGTGATAACTTGAGCTACAAAACTTTGCTGGACATGACCTAGCTCTGTGCAGACACTGGTATTTCAGCACCACGATCCCTAGCTTTCCAAGGTCTGGAAAGAACATTAGTTTAGATCTAGCATAGCATCAAAAAAAAAATAAATACATCCCCAGTCTGAAAGACACTAGAATGTATTGTGTAGATATATTTCCCCTCAAAAAAACAACCGAGTCTCTCAAACTTCAACACAGTCACTTTCATCAAGTGAAGCTGCACCAAACTTGACAGCTGCTACAGAACTTTCTCTTCTGGTTTTGCTAGAAAGAGTCTCTTAGATTTGCTCTACAAGAGCTTTCCTAAAATAAAAATAAATCCAGTTATAGCCCCTTAAGATAGTTACACAGTTTGCTCAGGTACCAGCAAGCACCAGCAGCTACAAAGCCAATTTGCAACAAGGGCAGTAAAAGCTCTTTGTTTTCCAACACGTCCCTGCGTCACACAGACTCTAGCAGAATCCTTTTCCCCTTGCAGAAGCAGGGCTGCAGCCAGAATGTCCTCACCTGTAGACAGAGAGGACACCTGCATCCTCTGCAACGCTCACTGGCTGTGACCTTCACTGCCAGCTTCTCCCTCCCACGCCAGGGCTTAGCTGCCTGTCTAGCAAGGAGGCAAGGTCTAGCTCTGATAAGGACACAGCTGTCGAACCGCCACTCGGCTGGCCAGGAGAAAGCAGGCTGCAGAGAGCCAAGAAAGGAAAAGTTGCAGCCAGAGGAAGCACTGGTGACACGGGCTTGTTTAATAGCTGAAGGACTCTGATAGCTGCCTGCCCAGCAAAGACACTCTGCTTGCCTCGTCAGGCTGGTGAGTGTGCTGATGCTAACAGCTAATTAGCCTAATAGCTTATTACATCCTGCCTTTCACATCTGTTAGCCAAGACATAACTGYTTTGTACTTGTAAATTGTAGACATCCTGCTCATAGAGCCTCCTTGCACCTATCTGGAGTACTGTGTGCAGTTCTGGGCTCCCCAGTATAAGAGGGACGTGGAGCTCCTAGAGAGGGTCCAGAGAAGAGCAACTAAGATGATTAAGGGACTGGAACATCTCTCGTACGAGGAGAGACTGAGTGAGCTGGGCCTGTTTTCTCTGGAGAAGAGAAGGCTGAGAGGGGATATGATTAATATGTATAAGTTCATGGAGGGAGAATGCAGGGAGGAAGGGGACAAGMTGTTTTCAGGAAGCACAGGAAGTTCCGTCTCCAGGTGAGGAGGAACTTCTTTACTGTGAGGGTGACAGAGCAGYGGAACAGGCTGCCCAGGGGGATTGTGGAGTCTCCTTCTCTGGAGGTCTTCCAAACGCACCTGGATGCTGCCCTGTGCCACATGCTGTAGGTGTGCCTGCTGGAGCAGGAAGGTTGGACTAGATGATCTGTAGAGGTCCCTTCCAACCTTTAATATTCTGTGATGCTGTGATCTGAAGATAACTGACAAACAAACCCAAAACAGGAGCTATGAACTCCTACAATGTAACTTCTTTTCATTTTGTTTCCCTTTCTTACTCTTTCTGAGGTGTCTGCTTACCATGTCGGGTGGAAACTGGTCAGATTACTTCAACCTCAGCTAAAACTGCCATTCTTAGGTTTTTTGTTTATTTGTAAACAATCAAACAAACCCCTTTCAAAAACAAACAAACAAAACCTCAGGATTTATACAGTTCATATACTAATACATATATAAAAATCCATATGCTACAAATGTAGCATCTATTTAAATACTGTAATCAGACCCGCACTGTTTCATAAACTAAAACAGAAATCCTTTCAAGCATCTTTTCATTACCTGTAAAGAAAATATCTCTGGCAAGCAGGCCAGGCTGCATTCCTCTGGCACAGAACGGCCACCCGTCAAAGGACTGTTAGTCTCCTTGTACCTGCACACGTGCTCTGCTGGCTTCTTCTCCAAATACTGAGCATGTATGTTATACTTGGGAAATTACCCACTTTTTTTGCCACAAATAAATTCACAAGTGGGATGAGATCTTGTGTGTTCTTCATATGGGGAACATCCAAGCTCAGAGGCAAATAAAACTAATCTGCAACAGAAACACTAAACACTAGACTCAACATCCATGTGACAAAACCCAGCAGACGCCATTTCAGTATGAGACCGCGTGTAAGACTTAGAGGACAAGAAAGATTTCCATCTTTTGCRTTCACCTCTCACAGCAGAGTTAAAACCAGCCTGCAGCTGATCACGGATTTGTTGGAATTTCACCTCCACTGTTTCTGCTAACTTGTAAAAATCCATCTATAGATGAGAAAAATGAGCTTGTAATAGAGAAGGATCCAGTTTGCAATTGAGAACACACACACACACACACACACACACACACTGAAACTCTCATTTGCCCTTACCCCAAACAGCAGAATTCCTCTGTTCTGAGCAGTCAGCAGGCATCAACCTTAGAGTAAGCACCAAAGTAGCAATGCTAACAAAAGGGAACATGCATATTTAAAGATTTTGAAAGAAAAACTGCTTGTGAAAATTGTGAAAACATGGTTGTTTTGTATGCAGTACGTACAGAAAAWGGGGAACTATATAAGATTACTTTTTTTGCAGTTTTAAACTTTTTAAACTTTTTGAAATGCCTTCCAACTAACTGCTCAGAAACAYCTTTGTTAACTTTTTACAAAAATACTCTAGATTTTAACAGAATGTGTCATTGTCTACTTAAAAAATATATAACAAKTAATGTATAAAATATATATTCAGGGCTTTTTTTTCCAATAATGATGAAACAAACAAATCATGTTAACATACAAACCAATTTTATCAGGTTTACATTTACAAATTTACATGTTACCCACACACTGCACTCATTAAAAAAAAAAAAAATGAAGCCTTTTAAACAAGAGCAGAGAAAACCAAGTCAGAGATGAGCCATGAATATATTAACAGTAACAAAATCATTAATACACTAGGTAAAATTAAATTTGCTCCCAAGACAGCATGCATCCTTTTGTATTCACCTATGCCTTTCTTCTTGTTTTGATGTGCTTCAGGGAGAGCTATGGCTGAATAAACACAACAGATTTATGCAAGAATGAAACAGAGAGGCCAGCCTCTAAAAGGAGGCAGCATCATACAGACGCAGGAGTTGGCTGCTCGTGAATGCAGCCAGGACAGCAGTGTAGGGAGTCATGAATAAACAGGTCACATTCCACGCAAAATGCATTCTGACATACTTTACATATGTAAACCTGGGTAGAAAAGATTGAAAAACCAAACGAAAGAGAAGAAAGTTATTAGCATTACAGCATGACAACATGGCAGTTGTGTCATCAAGATAATGTAATATATTATTTTGATCATTAACTGAAGTAAGAGTTATAATAGCTAAAATGCTTAAAGTGCTGAAGTATGTTCAAATGGAAAACAATGGATGGATGTTTATTTATGCAACTCTAAGGGCCGTCCCTTCCCCACATGTGCAAAATAAGTGCAATTTTAAAGGCAAAACTGTGACTGAAAGGCAAAACTGTGACTGAAAACCCTACCTAGCCACAACAGAAACTGCCACAGACTTTCCTGGCCTTTTTTTAAGATACTATTAGAAGACTATCTTTGACACTTCTCAGTGTAAGTTTCAATATTGTTTAACATACTTACATTTTGATCTTTTATTTCTCCCTGGCAGCCTTGACAGTACCTACAATGCAAAATCGTGCATTTTTACTACAATAAATTTTTTAAACATGKTTTTTGTATTGTCTTTGCATACACAATAATAATTCATGTTTTTTTTTCCCCAAGTTTTCACCTGAACACAGGTGAAACAGGATAACAGCTAATGAAAACTACAAATATGTCTTACTATCAGAGGTAACCAACCCCCACCAAACATTCAACAGGATCACCAATAGTACAAAAGCTACTGCCAACTCTTCTTCCTTTCTTAAGACAAAAGAGTCCACAAGTACATTCATTATCACATATATGATTTACATACCGTTCTCCTTGATATTCTTCCAGGGGAACTTCCTGAAAGGCATCCAAAGGGAACAAGTGATGGTAAGACCGAGCCAGATGAGGGGCAGACACTAATGTAAGACCTGCAAATAAAGAGATATCAGAATTATTACAAACCACAACTTCCTCCAAAGCATTTTTATATTAGACAAAACAGAGTAGCAAAACAGAAGTGAAGTTTAATAAGTCAATGATTCAGAATTTTAATAATTAAAATACTTGTCCGATTCAATAATCCAAATTTGTAATCATTTCTGGAATTAAATCCAAATATCAATTAAAACAACAAGCAATGAATGTATTTCTTCTAAATTTGCAATTAAAAGGCTTAATTCAGTCTTTAGAGATACATTTGTACGCTGCTGTAATGCTGCCAAGCCACACCACAGGCCTCTTTAGGCTGACAAGCTCATGATGTCGCATGGGCTGGCAGGGACTTCCTCAGCACTCACTCGTGCAGCATAACCTTTCCATCTCTTGCTCTAACAGCCACTGGGAATCTCTTGCTGATATATAGGATTTCTAAGCACACTATTAGCTTGCTGAAATTAAACTGCTGTTGATATTAACAATTTATATGAATTAGGAGACAGCGACCTTAAACTAGAATGATTTATTATCTTAAAAATGCACACCTGTGACATTAGTCATGCACAGGTAGAAGCTACCAGGAGTAAAGCTGCAGCTAGCACAGCACTCTTAGTATGAAAGGTAATACCCCCACTACCATTAAGCAGGGAGGCAGGGACCCATGTGTTGCACAGTTCCTTTATCTTTGCAAGGCTAAATGCTTTTCCCACTTGCAACTCCACAGCCTTTCGTGTGTTATGTGCAGTGTTTGTCCTTGAGCTTTCCCTTCTGAAACCTTCATTTACAGACTTACAGCAGGCGGGACAAAACTTCCACCTGTGTACTTGATCCTCAAGGCCTAACACTGAGGAGTCTGAAACACCACTATCTGCTGCATGTGTCCTACGTGTCCTAGTCCCCGATGTAAGATAGCAAACTGCCTACAGCTTATTATGCTCTGCTACATTTCTTTATACTATACACTGTTTTGAAAATATTTCTGGCGTTCTTGCACTTCTCCATCATCATCCTGAGCCTCTTATCATAGTATCATATAGTATCAAAATACTGATATTGTTGCTGCAGATGTATTTGTGAAAATGAATGGGAGGCAAATATACCACCCACTCAAGGTTTCCCCTCTCTATGACAGTCTTGAATACATAAAGAATTCAGGACAAAACAAACAAACAAAAGCCCTACACAAAGACAACAACATGAAAACACCCTTTATTTACAATTAACAGCATGATATAACTTTACCACTACAGGTAGAATCCTGAGATTCTTCACAGCAAGCTGACATTTCAAAACACAGGAATGAAGACTTCTTCAAGCAGACCTGGCCATTGATTACTGACTACAGTTGCATTTTCCTCCCTTTAAGTATCTTATCTCTAATACAATCCAATTGCTCAGCTATTCTTGCTACTCACCACAGATTTTGCATTCCACAGGAAGTTCACAATATTTGGCTCTGCACTGAGGACAGAAATATCCACCCAGTGTAAGCCCTGGCTCACTGTTGTTTTCCAATTGCCTGGAACAAAGACAGACATGAGAGACAGGAGGTTGGAGGAAGAAATCAGTACCATTTTTCTGAACGAAGGTATGCTGTGAAGCTGTATAAATATCACCATTAATAACAGGAATCTCAGTAATACTACATAACTAGTAACACTACATAACACTGGTAATACTACCCAGTTCTCAAAACAAATATTGTTTAAAAAGATTCTGTACCTGTTATCTATATAGAAGAATCAGAAAACAACTGGTATAGTTAGATAACAATTATCACTTATCCATAAAAGTGGAACAAAAACAAATTCTCCCCAAATGAAGAGGAATCAAATCATGATGCACATTAATATTCATCCTCCTCAACAGCATTGTTTCCTTCTGAGAACTCATGCTGCTCTGTCAGCCTTGAAGGCCATGATTCCTTTCACAAAGAGCACKATTATGGTAATCAAACTGAGGCAAATGTTTTAAACTTCCATTTGATATCACTAATCATTAGTAAAGCAATAAATAGTTAATTCCAGATAACACCCTTCTTTTTCATGATTATATCTTCACAATGATAAGAAAATACTTCAGTACAAAAAATGCCATGCATTACCTTCAAAATTTCCTTAATGTAAAATTTTTAAAGTACATTTATTTAGAGAACACAAGTAACTATGTCCACATACAGAAACTGCAAGTTAAAGTAAGATTTCGAATGAGAAGTCACAACATTTTAGTTGCCAGTCCTTTTTTCATGGCATTTTGCCATATTCTCATCAGAAAACAGATTTTCTAAATATAGCTAGATATCACTGAATTCTAATACTGAATTTTAATCCACTCATTAAATTCTAATCAGCTCTACTTACRCCATGCTAAAGGATGGCTTTGCATCTTGATCAGACAGAGAAGCAATAGTGTGCTGAGGAAAACCTAAGAGAAAAAACATTTCATATTATCAGTTTTAAACATACTAGTAACCTTTCAGACTTGTATTTGAAAAGTTTAAAGATTATTCTAAATGTCAAGTTCCTTTTTTTTGAATTAATGTTATTTATTTTATTACAAGAAGTAATATACTCTTATCAGGTATGGAATCCTTCTTAAAAGTCTCTATCTAAATACCTACTAATTCCTTCATTTTATTTCCTGAAATAAAGGAAATATAGCTGAAAAGAAAGACTATTCACTGAAAACAGTTCATTTTCAGAAAAAAATGAAAAGAAAAAATCTGTTCAGAAACTTTATAGGAAGAGAAGGCCATTGAAACACAATTTTTGAAGACTAGTTAAAAAGCAAATGTGTGTAATGTTAGGAAAGCAGAAAGACCTCTATATGAATATTCATGAACAATGACCAACGAATATTCATATTAAAATTTTACTAATGGAAAAATTATATACTTTCTAATTGCAGTATACAATTAATAAGACGGCAGCATTTTATGCAGACAGCACTAGTCTTCATATCATTTAATTTTACAGCTTATTTCCATCAATAAGTTTTTCTTTTCTTTGCTATTATCACACAAGTTTCAGCCATCATAAGTAAATCTCTAAGTATTTAAGTTTCCATATAAAAATATATATTTTTTTCTATGGAAACAGATCGATGGAAGTACAAACAAAACTGTCTTGTCAGTGACATTACTGTTTCTACTGTGGTTTAATTTCAGGTTTAAATTTAATGAGAACTACACGAGGAGAAAGAAAGGTACCCAGTTCACTTGTTGAAAGAAAAAATGTGACAGTGCTCCAAGCAAGCATCCACTATGGAGCAAACCAGAAGGCTGTTAAAGCACGTGAGACTTATGACAGTTGCCTTCAGAGATAAATACAGGCGAAGAAACAAAATATGATTGTTCATTCTTCAGTTCCTTCCTTCAGTTTTTAAATACTGCATTTATTTCAGTTATTGCACAAGCAATGTCATTTCCTCTCAGTGCTTCCGACTACATTTGAGTGTTGAGTCTTACTTGCCTTCAATTCTTAAAAGCTCAGTTCTTAAATGTAAATGCTGGACATTTTGGAAGAATAAAACTAAGCAAAGTGAAATCTATCTTTTAAAGCAAAAGTGGTAAAATAAAAAGAACCAATTGTGCAATGCCTTTAAAGTTCTTCCAGTCATCTGCATTACTTCAAAACAGAAGAGGAAAAGAGAGAAAAAGATCCTTAAATCTTGYACTTGAAATTGAAGAAAACCATATCCTACCCATTCGAATAAGGGAGCATTCAGAACTTGAACTGGCAGGTGGAGGACTAACATGATGCATCAGTAGTTCCTTATAATGACTTTCATCTAAAATAACGTGGTATGTTCCTATCACAGAGAAAAAAATGACCCAAACTCAGAACATTAATCTGTTAAGTAGGAAGTAACACAGATATATTTCTACAAATAACGTAACATCAACTTTAAGTTAGAAAAAGAAGTATCCAACTCTATCACTAAACTCCCCCTCCCAAAAAAAMCCACCAAAACCACACAAACACCAGAATATTTAAATTATGTAGGAACACTTTATAATTACATAAGAATATCTACTGCTTTTCTCTCTAACATTACCAGTAATTATATTGTAGGAGTTACAGTTACAAAAACTGATGTTAACATATCAAAACTTCCACATCATATAGCTTTAGCTGTTATCTGTTTATCTGGAACACTATGTTTTGCATATATTTCCCCTTTCAAAGCAGCAGYTGTAAGCTGATGATTATTTCACTATATGTTATTAATTTTGTAACTAAATTAATTTTAAAAATATATTTTGTAACTTGTAAAACTAAAATGACAAGGCAGCTACTTAATTCCACATTTCAACTTCAAGTATAGCTACAAGACTTCAGATACATACCACCTGTTTCTCGGGCAAGCAAAGTACAAACGCGAACTTCAGCACTTAGACCGATGACAGATACTCTGATCTTAACTGCTTTTAAGCTCTTCACATGGAAAAAGAAAGCATACTCAAATTCATCAGCAGAACTGAAAATGGTAGAAAGGTGCAAAGTTTTAAATGATAATTTAATGGTTATGACATCTTAACTGAGTGGTTTTAGTCTAAGAGATTGGAGGCTTGCRGCATTAGGTGAACTTCACTTCTGTACCTTAATTAGATCATAGATGTTGGCTGGATCACATGTTGTCAGACTGCTGAAGACTATCAAAACCTCTCTGCTTGTATGTCCTGGCATGTGCCTAAAGAAAGTATAAAGTTAATCTACCTATGTATACTAAGCTATACAGATGCTAAAGTTTTCAAGGACTGTGATGTACTGAAGTCAGAAAAGAACACCATATGAAAACACCTGGAGATTACAAAAGATCCCTCTCTGTGGTAAGATCTTTCTCTGACAATCAATATTTCATCTGCCATCACATCATAACTTACCAGTATCTAACACACGATATTTTGTCTGTCATCTGATTGCTTGATAGATAGGGCCACCATGCTACCCCATAACTTACCCAGACTCTCACAAGTTAAAATCCACCTTCAAACTAGTAGCAACTCAACTTCTTAAAAGAAAAACAAAAATAACAAACAAACTCTGATCTGTTGATAGATGTAAATCTACTACTTTAACCGCCTTTCACAGTTCTTCATGGAAAAACCTCTTCCAACAATATGTCTAAAGAATTTCCTATGACACTACTACTAGCTTCTTTCTGTCAGTGTTACTAGCTCTAACTATTTGTTAAGCAAATTCTACAAATGTTTTTACCCTCTCAATGCCTCACACGGCAAAAATGTAGTAAAGAAGTCTATTCTACCCCAAATTTACCTCTCTGCTACTTTTTGTAAGAGCCGCATCTCTAAATAGGAGTGTCTTGCCTTAGAACACTGAATATCCTAGCAGTGCAAAAGTCAGCTTCTAACCATTTGTAACTTCAAAAACATAAAGCCTTCTTTAAAGAGTCTGGCAGCACAACACAAGGCAGTACTTGTCAAAAACAGCCTTTCCTACCACTCAGCATTAATACCGAATAAGAAAACCAGGAAGAGAAAGAAAGGAGCTGTTCATATACTAACTTTAAAGTCTGCATAGCCAAATTTAGGGAATTATACAGAGATGGCTCTCCATGACAGTTCATATCTACTGCTTTCTTCAGAGCAGCTACGTGCTTTTTTGAGTTACCTGTGAGGGAATAAAACATGCACCTGAAATAACAAGTTACAAAAGCAAATATTTATGATACATATTTTATCAATTTTACTTGATGAGCAATGGCTTTCAACCTGTTATGTGCAGGTCCCCATTTCTTACAAATTGACCCTTTGGCCACAGTGTTTAAAAACAGAGCATTACTATCAGAAATACATTTATTCTACAGGCACAGCTGTTAAAAACTCAAAAGGTCAAGAACTAAGTCACTGATATAGATTATTAAATGCTTAACAAGATGAAAGAGAAAAACTGAACTGTCTCAAAGAATGTCAGTAGAAACAGGGTTTTGTTTTTTGTTTTCCAAATTATCCTCAAAGTAGTCTTCAAACACCAATTGATCCTCAAGCTCAAGAAATTTGTTCCAATTCTATAGGTGGGTAAGGAGACCAGATTTTAAACAACTTCCCTGAAACCACGTAACTTGTTAGTGGCAAAATGTAGGAAACCAAAAAATCTTGCTTACTATCTTGTCTAATCTTACTGAACACATGAATGTCAGCAAATAAAAGTTAGTTAACGGCACAAGATATTAACTTTAAGGGAGACAAAACACATTTCCCTTGAATTTGGGTAAGACTTGATCAGGCACAAATGGATGATGCCAGTTTTGGATCCAAACAGATTGAAATAGTTATCTGCAAGTTGTCTGAAATAGTTACACTGAAAAAGTACTGAAGTGTGTACAATTACACTGAAAAAAGTTCAATTACACTGAAAGCTGTACCTTTAATTGAAAATACTATGTTAATGGTACTCCACTATCAGTAGATTCATCCAGGTAGAAATTGCAATATCAAGGTTTCATAGTACAAGAGATGACAACAGATCTCCAATTTTAAAGAGAAAACTACCATCCTACCTGAAAGTTCTGTCATTTTTTCAGCTCTTTTACTCTTTGTTACAATTAAGCCAATCTGGAGAAGAAAAGACAAAATTATTCTTAAGAAATCAGAATCAACTTTGTATTTTTGACCCAAGAAGTATCAGAGAAAACAGCTACATACTGTTAGTTATGTTAGTATGTTATGTTATGTTATGTTAGCTAACTGTAAAGGCCTTCTGTTAAGTATAACAACAGCAGCACGATGTTACTCATCGATTAACGTACATTCCTGCATCTTCATTGTCACAAAATGTAAAATAACTCTTTCTAAATTCTAATGCTGAAATAAAGTCTAATCAAGTCTTCTGTGTTACAATTCACATCTAGAAAAAAAAAAAAGGCGTGGGTGAAATATACATATGTGTTCCTATTAAATAAACAAATATTAAAATTCACCAGGCTGATGGGGAAGGGAAGGAAAGGAACATATCAATTGAAAACAGTTTACTAAACAATATTGGAAATAAAACTAAGCTTTCAAAACAGTCTTAAGTTTTTCATTAATTGTGATAATAGTGATTGTACATACCTGACTAATAGGATTTTGGTCAAAGTACTCCTCAACAAAATACTCCAATAACTAAGAAAAAAAAAACAGACTTAAAAAATTATGAACGGCTTAATTTCACATATGCTACGTGGTTAGTACCTGCAAAGCAAAGCTTCAGTGACATTAAAAAAATGGGGAGAGAAAAAAAAAAGACGGATAAGGAAGCACAAGCCTTCACGCCCATGCTCCTTCCTCCGGCCAAGGAAGTCTTAGCACTTCCATTCTTCTCATTCCTGTATTACTTATGGAAAGTATATTTCAGAAGACTCACTTTACTGACTTTGTATATTAAAGGTCTAGATTCATGTTAATTCAAATAGATTTTTAAGATGCATCAAAAAGCATTAGTCTGAAATCCTGGRTTTTGGATATTTTGTTCAATGCTTAAATACTATAAGTGAAGCTCCTATAGGATTTTAGGATACAATTTCACTTCACTGCATTTAGAAACAACTTCTGTCTAGCATCCACTCAAATCAGAATTTTTGAAGTCAAAAACATAAGAAAAAAGTAAACATTGCTCTATGTGTAAACATACTATATTTGCTCTCTTCCCATCCCTTATTATGGGCACCACTTCAGTTCTATTTCCACATACTTCTTTACCATCTTTTCATAATGCATTCTTAGGAACTGTTTTCACTCTACAGTAGCACCCCTGCAAGGCAAGCTAATCTTACATTTACTACTCAAAAAACAAAGTCAAACTATATTCCAGGAAAATTACAGTCTAGTGACATAAACAAGATTGGGGAGGGTGGAAAATAGGGATGAGATGAGAGATAAGGTTATGCAAGTAAGCTAGTCAGAAGAGATTACTTCTAAATACAACATGAAAGCAATTTACAAAGGAACAGTGAGTTAGTAAGAGAAAACTTTTGAGTACAGAAATACCTTTAAAGTGCAAGTAAGTCTGTTGGGTTTTAGATCTTGGTCCTCCATAGTTCTTGATCCATCAATAACCACATAAAGGTGACGCATCTGCAATATCAACATAATATCAATTCTGCAAGTTCCCAATTTTAGATAAAACGTTATCATCCACAGAACAGTTGCTTAAATAAGCGTTTTAATATCATTATTTCCCTTACTCAAATGTTAGAGAAAATTTAAAATACTAAACCAAATCATAGCTTTTAAGGCTATCCAATCAAAAAGAGCAGAAAAAAAAAGTATTTTTCCACTTTTCCTTCAAGAGGAAACAAAAAGAGTCTTTCAGGACTAATACATACTGTTCTTATACTCTCAAGTAAGCTACAAAATAATTATAGCTTGCACTTATTTAATCTGTTTACCCGAGGAACTCAGCATGTTATAAAGCAGTACTACAGTTTACAATTCACTTAAACTCTTGTCTACCTGTTCAGATAGCAAAAACRCAACAGCAAGAATGTGTATGATCTGATTGCATCTGCAAAGCGTGTCCTGATGCAGAAAATAAACCACATATCAGAGCTAGCTTCAGAGCACTACCACTTGGGCTCAAAAAGAGTCTAAAAAACTGCAGGGCAGCATAAAGTTTCAGTCTCTGCCATATAAAGTCAGTAAAAGTGTTCTTCGTATTAGGTGTACTACTGTAGTTCAAGTAGTTCTAGACACAGGACAGACAAGAATAAGCTATTAACATACCATGCCAAGTCGAACCTGTCCATGGTGTTCTTGGAGTCTAAATAATAAACAAACAAACACACGTTTTAAATAAGATGCAAAAAAAAAAAAAAAGACTGATTGTAAAAGATTTCAATCCCACAGTTCTAGCACACATGAAACGATCATTTATCTTGATAATCACTGCAACTTACTGCAATTGAAAAGAAACAAAACGGGAGATTATAAACTCAACCTTCAACTATAGCCAGATCTAACAACTCTTAGAAAACAGCGTAGAGTTCCTATAACTAGATTCAATGAAACTTTAAAAGTTCACCTACCTTTAAAAGTTTTATTGTAATAAGCAAAAACAAAACAAAAAACAAAACAAAACAAAAAAAGTAATTCTGCCTAGCAAATCTTCTGACAGCATAAAGCAAGCATCAGGTGCCAAAAAATAATTTAATGCAAAATATGTAGATTTGGAGATAGAAAAAAAAAGTTACAGAATTCTCTCTGAACAATCCAACTATTGTAAGTGCACTGCTCCGTACTTGATCAAGGTCTAACCTCCTTGGTCAGAATACATCACTCACTCTTAGAAGAAACTATAGATTAAAATAAGTATTTTTTTTTTCACCGAGTTGAGTAACATGGCAGCTTGAGTTCTACATCTAGAGTTCTGAAAGGAATAAAGGCCAAAAATTACTGCAGGCATATCGAGATGCTTCATCTACCCAAAGGATTCAGTTTTGACAAGATCCCACATCTGACAACCATCACCTTTCTTATCCACAAGCGTGGGTAAGTATCCTACCTTTTTCGCTTAGCCTTGAAAAGAATGTCCTCAATAGTAGCTTTGAGTGAACCAGATTCATCTTCTTTAAGGATCTCCCTACATAAAACAAATTGTTACTGGAATATACAGAAAACTTAAAATGAAATGCAGCACAAGGAAGACAAGGGCAAGGTGAGGCACACAAAGCAAAGGGAGAGCCTACCATGTTCGTTCGTAGCCTCCTTCCCACCGCTTGGTCCTTTCAGGCTCATCATCCATGTCTGCGGCTCTGCTCTTGCCTACGGAGCACAACCGTGTCGGGCCTCGGACCACGGAACCTTCCCCACAAACGGCCCCGGCCCCGGCGAGGGGCCGCCGGGCAGGGAGCCGCGGCCGCCGCTCCGCGGTAACCCTGGTTGCGGAGCCGCCGCTGCGCTGCGGAGRCTGCTGCAGACGGAGGACACCGGGCCGGGCCCAACGTGGAGGTGTTTGAGCAGGAGGACGCGCGATACCAGCCGCCCTACCGGCTGCCCAACGGTCCCAACGGTCGCGCCGCCCCGGCCGGAAGCGCTTGCGCGTCTCTGCCCGCTCYTCCCTCGGTGCTGCCGCGAATCCCTCCCGGCTGCGGCGCCCGGGGCGCGGAGCGATCGTTCCGCCGCAGCCTTGAAGTACTGTTCCCTCCACTCAGTGAAGGAGCTGAGGAATCCCCAGGAATCATTTCATTTTAGAATTCTTTTATTAAGCTATCATTATAAACCCACGAAAATTACTTGGCGGTTGCATTTGGTGAATGGGTTGCGGTGTTAGTCATCTCGTGCCGCATGTGGTGGGGTAATTGCACTGACCAAATTAAAGGGTTTTTTCACTAAATACCATGYAAGCACCGTTTTTTAGATGTCCATAAAATTACTATTTATTTGTTTGCAAGCATACGATTTASTTTTAAATGCTGTGTGGCTAGTAGTTATTCAAAAGAGCGGAAGCCCTAAGGAGTGCTCTGCAATTCAAGGCCAGCAGCTTTTGGCATTGTTGATCACAGAGATATTTTGAAATAATTGCTTGGTTAAGTAGAGCGCGGATGGCCAAGATGCTGCAGCCTGAGTTCTAGCCCCACATACCCTAAATCCATCTCTGAATACAACTGAAAAGCTCTTCTGGTCTATACCATGAATACTTGACTAGTAGTCAAGAAAATGGTGTGATGTAGGATTTTTTTTTTTTTTTTTAATTAAAACTATTGTATTCCCAGTTTTTCCTTGTCATTTACTTTTGGAAACTGGACAACAGGCTGTTTGTCTTTACAGCCTTGTTGCTTGCACACACAGAATTCCAACTGGACACTAAAGGCATCAAGGAGAAAAATCAGTCACAATTTAAACCTCTAGTGAAAATACTGGCTTGCTGGCTGGTAGATAGGTCCAAGATGACCTTTTATTGCTTTGTATAAAGCAAAAAATATTAAACACTTGTAATTTATTTCACTTATCCAGATGTGCTGGTAAAAGTTGGAGTTTTCATACGGAAAATGCAGTGTTGGTGTTGTGGATGTTCACTAGTCACCTTTCACAATTGCTGTAGCAGAGACCGTCACAACTTGCCCAGCACTCGATTCCTCTGTGGATTTAACATGGTACAAGCCGAACAGCTGTTTGCACAAACACCAGACCTTTAGGTGTTGCAGGATTGGTTCGTTAGTACCAAGGACATCATAGGTTGTCATCAGTGACAAAGCTAAACTATACGTGCATGGCCACGTATTTTCTTTACATTAATTAGCTTGATCCACTCTGCTGTAGGCAATGCACTACTAAATGGGGATTGTGGTAGGTAGGGAGCCCAGTCTCACCAGGAGTTGCCATTTCACAAGCATCTTGCCGAGAACTCRCTCACTAGAGTTAAGGCAGTTCTAGCCAATTTCTCCACGGAGCAATCAGGATTTCATTAGCTCCAGTGGAAATGCGCCAGCCCTGAGTTCAACCTCTTGAATCACAGGAAAGTCACCAGGCATCCGTTTCTAGGGGCTGTTACTGTGCATCCAAGTAAGACAAGAAATGAGGAAGAAAACAGTTAGACAGAATTTCCCTCAAATATAGTGCAAAACTTGCCAATTAAATACAAATGATGTCATATTGGCAGCAATCTATAAGAACAGGCAAAATAGAGACAAAGTCAATTTAAACAACCTGGGAAAGATCCAGTGTTTAGAGGAAAGCCATAAAAACTACTGAGGATGGAAAAAAAAAAAAACTTCTTTATTTTAAGAAGTCAAGATTAGCTTCTAGGAGCTGAATTTCAATTATAGTTTAACTGACTCCCATGCCATCTTTTCTTAAGAAGCAGAAAGTCCAATTTCTGAGAAATGGAAGTGGAGAAATGGGTTCAATGAAATATTTTGTTTTCCAAGAACCGGGATGATTTTTACTGTCAAGGTCAAGAATTGCRATCCTGCAGATTAATATAGGATATACAATCCTATTGATGATGATTGTCTAAAAGCTTCAAATCCCAACCAAATTTTGGCATCAGTAAACTAAAAGCTGGATAGCTATTCCTACAAATTTAAAAGCATTACATTTTTCAGCAACATTAGTATTCTTAGTTGATATCATGAGTTCATATCATGATATCACCCTAATACATGATGCACACTTTAGCTTATGTTCAATCCACGTTTTATTTGCGCTGAATAAACTCACCAGGTACTAACGAATAAGAGGATATTTCCAGTTATCTTGATCACAGACATCCAACTGTTTATCCAAATAAGGAGTCCTTTTCATAAATCAGGTCAGTTTTAAAACTTGTGCACTCTTGGAATCCGCGAGTTCCTCTCGGACATTTGCCTGTATGGATCTGTCAAAACAGGCAGGTATTTTCTAAAAGGAAGACTGGAGGAAGGAAGTCATAGAATCATAGAATGCCGAAGGTTGGAAGGGACCTCAGAGGTCATCGAGTCCAACCCCTCTGCTCACGCAGGGTCACCTAGAGCACGTGGCACAGGGCTGCATCCAAGCGGGTTTTAAAGATCTCCAAAGAAGGAGACTCCACAACCTCTCTGGGCAGCCTGTTCCAGGGCTCTGTCCTTGTTACATACACTCTGTGGCTGAGGACAAGCTTTAACTGAAGTAACGTGCTAATCCATTTGATTTAGGGTAATACTTCTTGCAAGCTTTAATGAGTATTAGTACCTTCTGCCAAAACACGGTCGCACTAGTAGGGCTGCGTAACAGGTATTTACATTGACATGCAGCAAAGCACACTCACAGAGAGAGAGACCTGGGAGACATTCTCCAGCCTCCATATTAAAGTACAGAACTAACTTCAGTTGTGTTCCCTTCACTTTTGCTCTTGCAAAGCATCAGGAGACAACTCTCGTTGAGTTTAACTGCAACTAAACCTGACTGAACTGACTCCCCATTTCTCTTGTCTTTGCCTCGCTTCCACACCCAGCCTCCAATTTTTATATCATTGACCGCTTCCCTCCAAGAGATTGCTTTAGTCTAATATTTTTGTTTTGTGTGTTTAGACTAGTTCTTCCTTCACAGGTTAGAGTAAAACCAGCCTGCGTGTGGTTGGTTCCTGCTCCCACCTGCTCCACAGCGCTGAGCTCTGTGATGTGCTTCCTGCTTGGGGCAGTGCGGTGCCCAGGYCTGCTGTCCAGTGCTCTGCACACAGCACCACGTCCTGCCGGCCCTGGTGGGCATGGAAGGGTCTTCCTGTCCATCTTCTCCTAGGATCCTGAAAATGAACCCTGCCACACGCGTGGCAGCATCGCAGGAGGTGCGGCGGGTGCCACGCGCAGCGTCTCCCATTAGGTCATTCCCCCATTCCAACAAGAGGCAAAGTGTTCYCTTCTCCAAGCTCGTTTCATGGAAACGCAGATGGAAAAGAGAAGCTGGATGGTTCTGCAGACACTTCACTGGCTTCACAGGGACCGGGAGCTGTTCTCTAAGAGAGAAAAAAACTCGGACCGAAGAAAGGAAACTGGGTCTCCATAGTCTTAACAGGCCTTTCCCGCACCAGGGACTGACCAGAAACCTAACACAGAGAGCAGCAAGCAAGCAAGCTGGGGGGGCTTGAGTGTGGGGGGGATCTTTTCAGCACTTTACTTGAGCCTTAAACTTGGATTCATCTTCCCCTGGTAGCTGACACAAAAACACCCAGAAATGCCACTGAGAAAAAAAGGAAGAGCTGAGTGCTAAATGAGTGGGTATTTAGCCTGCAACAGTCTGGACAAAGACATGTCTCATAAGCAGAAGCTCCAGTCAGGTTTCTGCAGCTCAACAGGTACAAAAGACCTGGTTCCAGCCCCCTTACAAGGCAGGGAGGTTTCCTCTGTACTGAAAGGAATGGAAACCTGAGCCAATGAGAACGGAGAAGAGAGCGAGGACAGGGACAGCACTGCGTTTTGCCCAGTTCAGACTGAAAAAGATACCGAGACCTTGCAGGTGGGAGAGACATAAGCCTGTGTCAAATGAAAAGGTGCCAAGCTTTCCASTTCCCTCAGCATTCCCTTGGCTTCTTGTGTTATGTACTTCATCCACTAGAGTTCTTGGAGTTAAGTCGCTGATTAAATTGGAATGCCAACTTTGATAAATATGAGCTTAAGTATAAGTTCAAAAATCAGACGGCAAATAACTCCTAGAGTGAGGTACAGCACTTCACGTGCACAACCAAAGATGATGTCACGCATCTAAATTAGACACCACTTTCCTAAATTCTTCCCTTTAAATGAAAGCCAAAGTTGAACATATACTTCTAAAGACGAYGTACAATTGCTAACAAAAGTACTGAGAAAAAGCATTAAGGTTACCTCAAGAAAATGCCTTCAAAAACAAATGGAATAACTCAGTTTTTTTTTTTTTTTTGAAATTAAAATATATTTTAGAACAAAATATCCAGTGAAACAGCAGTTGTAGAAAATTGTACAAAAAGTGGCTATCGATGCTGCCAACTTCAAAAAGTAAAAAGTAAATACAAGGATATGAAGAATGACATAAAATAGAAAATTATTATGACAACATTTGCTCAGTGCAAACCTATTTAACCCCAGCATATATTACACAAATCTCTAGAAAGCATATCGAAGTATTTCACCTGACCTTACAGGAGATCTTTATTGCTATTTTAATTGGGAATTAATTTTGTTCTACTCGATTAATTTTGTTCTACTCAATCTCAGAGTTCACAATCAACTGCAACTAGGTAATCTTAAAATTGTCCTAAACAAAAACTCCCACTCCTCACAAAGAGCAAAAATACATTTTTCTTTTAGGCCCATGGAATCTTCCCACTAAGTTGATTAAAAAGGCAAAACACACCATTTTTGTGAATACTAGGGGAAAATTGACAGGGTCTAATCCTGCATCTCTATACCTTTAAGATCATATATAAATTCACTACATCACCTCTATAGAAGAGCATTTAAAACAAAAAAAAAAAATCAAGACAAAAACCCTATAATGCCGTGCTTGCTTAAACAGGAACTTATTTTGCAGCTCTTGTTGAATGAAATCCACAATAATTTCTCACATATAGCACAGCATATGAAGACACAAACAGATTTATTAAACTCAGTTCTGACTTATCAAAACTATTCAAAAACTAAGTACTCTACCAAACCCCAGCCAGTAGCATCAGCTCAACTTTCTGCTTTCTCTGATAGAAAATACAATACTTGCAAATAGAAAAGTGTACATATATAAGAGGACTGACTGTGCACTGTCTAATAAAAAGGATAATATTAACACAGATTTTCTAAATTCATCTGCTAACTTCATTAGATTGACTTAAAATTGCATCAGAATGCAAAACCTATTGGAAATGCACAGTATTCAAGTAAATGACAAAGTGATTAAGGCGGCAATTGTTTTCCCCACAGGAAATTCTGAAAGTAAATAAATACTTTAAAAATGTATTTCTATTTAAAAAAATATAAAACAATATCCTCACAGTCCAGGAAATGCTAAACTTGTACATTCCAGTTCATAATTTTATCATAGTCCTGAATTCGTTGTTTTATATGAGAAAGCTTATTCTTCAGATATTCACAACGTTCCTTTTTCTCCAGAAATGTGGGATCCTGCCAAAAAAATGCAAAAAATCCCCACCCTTATATTAATGTTTATGCTTTCAGTTTCCTCCAGCAGTAACTCATTAACAATTACGTCATTGAATCCAGACAGCATATAAATATCCTCATTCTTCAAAAATACATTATTTTTCCTTGGCTACAATTTCTTACATCCAGGCTTTTCCTCTTTCCTCTTCTTTTATGAACRGTTAAAGGGAGAGGCTCAGCTTTAATGTGCCTTAGTTATTTAGCCAATAGAACAACTTTAGCATATATGTGCAAATACAGATAGGTGTGTTCTGGCATGTGAAACAAACCCCCTTCCCTCCAACAAACAATTTAAGTTAATTAACATGGATGAAAAATTTGATGAAAATGAAAAAATGATGAAAAGATATATTCATAATGTATTATGATTTTAGTGTAACAAAGGTGCACATTTACTGCCAGCACTTAAAAACAACAAAGCAAAAATCTCTTGAACTACAGCGAGAATGAACTTTTGACAGTCCATGCAAGCCTCATTGCCAAAAAGAAAATACAAAACTTCTTTCATGAGGGCAAAGCTGTGTATTTTCTGTTGTTAAACAAAGCTGTGCTGGCTTTGTCAGTGAATACAAATGAACTTGATGCCCAAAATAGTCAATGCAAACCGATATTCTGCAAGCAAAATGCTAGAGAAGATATGTGTTCTCAGAAGATTGTTTCCCCCTCTATCTCTAACAGAATCATTATTCTCAAATGAGGTTTTTGACACGATGAGTGCATAGTGTCCCAACTGTTAAAAGACAGGGATATAAAGCTCTGTGATAGCTCTGCATACCCCATACCCCAACATACTCAACATAGTGTCAGCAGTCCTATATATTTAAACTCTCTTTGCTATTTATTAGATATATTAGCAAAGTCAAGCTGAAAAAAACTCACATTTTTTTTCTTCCTGTATTCCTGCAAAACTCTTGATATCCTTTCCTGTTCCTGGTAAGAGAGACCACACATTTTTAAAGATATTAATGCAGKCCATTTCTTCATGTAAATTTCATTAGATACTTGTTAAAAATCAATCRCTCCCTTAGCCAAATCCTTTTAAATATATTTTAACTGTTTTTGTATTTGAGAAATAGCAAAAATACATTAACTACAGCTCATACAAAGCTTGAAAGCTATGAATATGGAAAAAACAGAAAAACATATATACAATTTAATCGCAACTTACCATCCTCAGCTAATGACTAAAGAAGAAATCACAGACATGAGGAAACATGCCTAATAACATTAGACAGTTTCCTTTTCACAGCTGCTTTTCCATTTCACAATACTTACATGTAGGTTTCCAGGATTATGAGGCAGTTTTCTCAACAATGCATCCAGCTCATCAAACTTCTTTAACACAGCATGAACTTCGCCTGAGAGTTCTTTATATTCAGCAAACTGATCATTGAATACCGCTTTGTATCGGTCCCGCATCTCATTTGTTTGAATTGCTGGGTATTTCCTTCAGAAAAAAAGAAAAAAAAAGTTTTTTTTAAGGACTAACTAATTTAGAGACAGGATTTCAACACACAAATCCTTAACTTTGGTACTGTATTTGTACAAATATTTGTTAATCTCATAACCTACTAAAATTTGCATATATGTAAAGCACCAAAAATGCCAAATATTATACAAATTATTTTCATGATTTCACACTTCACCATAGAACGGCCTAGTTCTACCACTTCAAAAATAAATATTTTTATAGATTYGGGAATTAAAAGGAAAGAATCTTGTCTGTATTGTCTTCTGTCACATCAGTAATTATTGTACACACTGTCTCACAATAGTCTCCTTTAACATTCAGAATTTTTCTTCTTAAGATTCTTCATTTATATTTTGAAGATAAAGTGTCTGTGTCATTGACACTAGCCTTCATACACTCTAGTTTAATATTCACTTCAGGAAGAATGAAATAAAAAAAAAAAAAAGTATTCTCCATTAGGTTTGCTTATCACTTACGCTAAGTAGTCTGGCATCACGATAGGCTTAGGAATGTGGCCCGCAGGTATATGACCATTCAGTTGTTCAGGCTTCATTTCCACTGATTTAAGCTGCCTGTAAGTGGCCTCTTCGCTTGGTCTGTCAACACCATCATACTAAGTTTTAAGAGAAGGAAAAAAATAGTTCTTAATAAAGTCAATTTTACTTCAAGAATAATATGCACAAAGTACAAAATACTTGACCAATTTGAAGGCAGAAACACAAGGACTGAACAGCAATACACACWAACTGTATATATTCTTATTGTAATTAGAAAATTAGGAAGGTGTTACAGTAATATTTCTCTCATAATAACCATCTTAAATTTGTACAAATAGCTGTTGCAGTGACAAAAGAAAAACAAACCCAAAACTTCTTGKAGAGTTCTGCCCCATGTGTCCTAAAAAGTAATTTAAGACAGACATGCTGYGTTTCTGTCTAATCTGTGACTATTTGCTGATGAACAGAAATCACTCAGTTCTCCCATGTCTCAGTATTTCCTCATTCTCTGTTGCACTATTTTTCCCCAGATCCAGAGGTAACAATACATGGAGTCCTGCCACAGCTTATTAAAAAAAGGATCCTGATTCAGTACCAGAGTGAGCAACTGAGAAAAGGACAGTAGGAATTTCACAGTATCTAGTGGGAGGCATTTAAGATTGAAAGAAATGCAYTATCAGTTCGAGAAACATYGAYACATGCCGTACTAAGATCCTAYGCACTCTTCRTATTGAATGTACTTGCTCATGGAAGTGCTAAAACCCCCCTTGGATGTGACAGGTTCTGGCATTTACTGATATTTCAAAGTTCATGGGACGGACTTTGGAGCGGCCTCGGGCACAGGAGCAAACTGGCAACTCGGCGAGTGTYGACCACTGCGCTTCACTGCCTCTTCTCCAATTTAAACAGATAGGCAGGAAAAACAAACATTGCCGAAAACTTACTGCACACGAGATGCTCTGGTGCCACAGGCACATCTGCAAAACACGGATGAACGCTGCACGATTCGCCATTCAACTCACAAGGGTCTGAGCACACACAGCAGCAGTCACTCCATCTGCTGACACCGTAAACTTGAGCCCTTGCCTGACCAGTGCTAACAACTTCAGGAGCTCTTTCCGAGTCTAKGGGGTAGAAGGACCTGGAAGTTGCCTGGATTACATCAGAGAACTCAACCTGACCTCCTCCTAGCAGGGTAAAAACTAGACCAGTCAATCAGAACAAAGGGTCACAAGAGAAACAATAAGCACTCTGAAATGCCAGTAATGAAACAAATATAAATTGTTTCTTACTTTCCGTTCTGCTAAAGACGACTGCGTTTTCATCTATTGGAAAAAAAAAAAAGGAAATGTAAGTTTTATTTGCAGCATAAGTTGTCTGCAAAAGCATAAACTCTTAAAATCTGAACTTTGTCAAAATCATGTAGTGCAGATAATTATGTATATATATATTCAAGTACGAAAAAATCTATAATATTTTTCAGAGCAATAGATTTAGAAAACATTTAAGTATGACAGGAAGAAACCCCACACAAAACAAAAAAACACGCCAACCTGAAATAAGGACAGGGTCTCACCTAATAGCTGTAAGGAAGAAATCGGATTAAATACTGCACCCGGTCACTTTCATTACTGCACATTCCAGCATATATTAACTCCCTGACACTCTGAGGCCTGGGTCATTGCTAAGAAAACATTTCTGTGCTCTAACCAGCAGCTGCTTTGCACAACACTCTTCACAGCTCAACCTGCACGGTAAAAGCAATCTCTTTAGAAATATTCTTAAAGGACTGGAATAAAAGAACACTGTCATAGCAAGGAAGAATGATCATTTTCTGTGCAATTCCAACAAATACTTCATTTTTGCACAAATTTAAAAAAAAACACTTAAAAGTTTTAATAACTACAATTTTTCAAAAGGGAAGTTCCAAGTTTATGCCAGATACAGTGCTTGAACTGTGCAGATAAAATCTTGATCAATATGATCAATCTATCTTTAAAGCAGAATTTTAAGAAAATGCAAATAGCTTAGCAAGGAAAGAAGGTAGTACCAAAAAAAAAAAAAAAAGTTATTTGTGTTTTATAACAAAACCTTGAGTTACCTTGCTCAATCACAACAGTTTGTTATGAAGAGTCAAGATCCCTCCCTCTTTCACTTTTGGAAAAACAAGAAGCACTAAAAGTCAGTAAAAAAAAATCGAATAAAAATGGACTTAGAGACATCCCTTTTTTATTTTTTTCCCCTCCTCACCCCAAAATTGTCTATATGATAGTTATACAGTTCCTAAGGTTAGTGGGCTTGTTTGTTTGCTTGTGCCTGTATTTATGATGGGAAAAAAAAATAATAATAAATGGGCTAGATTTTGGGGTGTCAGATTTCCATTTTGTTATTCCTATTATCTCTACTATTATAAGGAAAGCTAAAAAGACATAAGGAAGTCACTTGGAGTTTCGTTTGCAACATAAAAATCACAGCTTCCTCTTACTGCCATCCTCACYGGCACTTATCCCGCGGAACGCTCGGACTCGGACGGCTAGGTGGCCTCCCTTGGCCCTACCCACTRAGCAGCGGAACCGTGTGGCGCGCTGTTCCCTCCCTGCTTTGTTTGGAAAATACGGCCAGGAAGCAGCTCATCAGCTGAAGCAGGAAGAAAACTGAGTGCCATGAAGGGAACAGAAACACTTCTTATCAAAGTCAGTAAAAATAATAGGAAAAAGCAATGGAAATTTTTGGATGTTGGAACCTGGMTGGCACGTTTCACCCGGCCACCTCAGATTTACCAGCCAGATGGGCGAACACRGTCACTCTGCAGCCAGGGTGGGCAGGATGCATCCCAGGCAGGAGCTTCCAGCAGCGCCACAGGCAGGCTTTGTGGTGCTATTCCCTGCCTTACCTCCCGCTCCATCAGCTCCCTGTGCCTGCGGGCCGCCTCGTGCCGCCAGAGCTTCAGAGCCACCACGGCGCTGATCAGGTAGACCACGACGGCGACGAAGAGGAAGATGATGGCGGCCGTCTGGCCGCCCTCCACGCGGCAGAAGGCCGCGTTGATGGGCGTCTTGAAGAGCGGGTAGTAGCAGAGCCCCCCGCGGTTGGCGTCGTTCACGTACACGATGGCAGCGGCCATGTAGAGGAAGAAGAGGGCCACGTTGATGCCGAACTCGGTCAGGGGCCACCAGGAGGAGTCGAGCAGGATGGTGCGGTAGTAGAGCGACATGCCGAGCACCAGGAGCACCACGGTGACGATCCAGGCCACGCCGGCGGCCACCAGCACGAAGGGCGTCTTGGGGCCGCTGTAGGAGTAGCCGCCGTAGGCGCTGCCGCCGCCGGTGAGGCCGTAGGGCTGYGAGTAGCCGAACACGTTGTACCACTCGTTGTCCTTGTGCACGTAGGCCGAGACGCAGGCGAAGACGGCGGCGCCCAGCAGCAGCTCGGCCACGCCGAGCACGCGCAGCAGCCCGGCCCAGGACTTCATGTAGGCGTAGCGCTGCCGGTACGCGTCCACCATGCTGCTGTAGGCCTCGGCGGGCAGCATGGCCTCCGCCTCGCCCCGCCACGCGCCGCCGCTGCTGCCCGGGCGCCACGAGGCGGCGGGCGAGGCGGGCGGCGAGCAGCGCACGCCGTCCGAGATGTACTTGATGTCGGAGGCCGTGCTGTCCCACTCGGAGCCGTTATGGCGCTTCCCGGCGAAGAAGTTCTTCCAGGAGTCCGGGATGAAGCGCCGCACCGGCTTGAGCTCCGCCGCGCCGGCCCACGAGCCGGGCCCGGCGCCGGGGCCCTGCGGCGGCTC